AGTTCGTATTTATTAATTTCTGTATTTGTTATTTTGGTTTTAAGTGAATCGTTAGAATTAAAGACGAATTCGAGACGTACAGGAGTGTTATTTACACTGACTGTTACTAGCATTATCATCCTTGGTCCTTCATCGATAATTCAAACATTTTAGAAAACCATCTTAATAACGATGGTATTCACTTGAACAGAAAGGGCACAGCTCTTTTAGTTAAAAATATTTCCTTTGCATATCCGTAATATCTTAATTAGGATATGTTGGGGACTGAGTCTGCATGCCCAAATGAGTTTTCTTCCAAATCGAATACAATGACAGTAGGTTACTCTCTTCCCATAAACAGAGGATTTAAATTTATTTCTAACTATAATGTGCCGAAGTGCCACCGCGCCTCCTGCAACTTGAGAATTTTAATGAGTGCTGGGAATGGCGATAGGAATTTTAATCGCTCTATGATCACCCTAGCGAGCACGCCGTCTCCACTTCCTGTAATCAGGTCCAAGTCACTCCACATCCTTACAATATTTTGTTAACCGTGACTAGATCTATCAAGAATGTCTCCAGCCAAATTCCTTTGTGGCTCACTTTTATTAGCAGTTACAATCCGTAAGTATGTGTTTTGCTTACCTGCAGCAGTTGACAAGGAGAGTCCGAGAGAAAGAACCGCAAAAAACAGAACCCTCATATTGTTCCTCCTGAAATCAAGAGGATTAAAAAGCGAGGGAAGTCAACATATGTCGTTTTACACCCATATAGCTTGCAGAATGTGGCCGCCACAGGTTCAGGAGAGGAAAACACATAGTCGGCTCACCAAGCTAGGGTGGCGTTTACTCACGAAGTTGGAGCATGCATGTTGCCAATTTTTAGGTTGAAGGGTGATACCAGTTTGGGAAACACAGACAAGAGAAGCATAACATGGCGATTGCTGACCTTGTCAGCAAATGTTTGATTCTAAAGAGATCAAGGGGAAAACTATGGATTTTCTGAAGTAGGGCGGGATGAATGCTGTTTATTCGTAAAACAAACCAGAGCGAAACTTCCAGTCAGACTCTATCCTTCATTCGAGGATTTTTATCAACCTGAATGTAGGTTAATAACTGCTTTTTTGTTTGTGTGCGTGTTCCCATAATAAAAGTAACGAATGTGTTCGCTATTTCTGGACCAACCATAGCAGTTACAATTTCCTAAAATGTGATTGGTGCATAAAATGCTGTATTTTGCACTAATTTTGATCGCTCGTGGGATTACAGACCGAATTGGACTTCACTCAGTCCTATTAACATTATAAATCGCCCATCAAGCAGACTGGGCATTAAAAACTTCCAGTTAAGGGAATCAGTAAAAAACATAGGGACTCACCTTAACTCTTCAGATCTCCGAGATGTTGACTTAACTGGGCTCGCAATTCAATTGAACTGCTCAAGATATTTAAATAGAATTTAACGCGACTCTTTTGCAGCTATCCATTGAGTATATCGTCACTTCTTCAAAGCACGACAATCTCGAAAATGCACCGTACAACTGATTGCACCTCAAAGGAATTGATAAGAAAAGATAACTCAATTCTGAATACGTTCTGAATACGTGAATGAAATATATTAACGTCAGTAATTAAATTAAATTATTGTCTTCCAACAAACAGTGCACAATATCACCGGCAATTTGCCAAACTCCCAAGTGTACCCAGAACTCGATATACCCACGGGCTGAACAAATATTCTTCCAACAGAGCTACAAGGACTGGGAGAAAGACCCATACACTCTCGGTGAATTGTTGTTATTTTGCACATCCATTAAGTATATCGTCACTTCTTCCAGGCACGACAATCTCGAAAATGCACAGTACAACTGATTGCACCCCAAAAGAATTTTAATAGCTCACATTAATTTTTATTGATTGTATGAGAGTCTCAAAGGATACTCCATTCTCTTTAGTGTCATTAACCGTTGAGTACTGTGAAGGACAATCTAAATTTTTCTCGCCGGGCTTACTCCCTTCGATAAGATCACTAAATTTGTACGTTTTCCTCCCTTATTTTACTCCCTTCGCCTTGAAAGGCTCCAAGTTTAGCAGTTTCACTGATATCCGCTCTGTTTGTGAAAGTTTCCACGTGCTCGTCGATAAAGTCATAAAGATATCATTTAAACAATAGAGTGTTTCTGTCGACGAACTATCAGCTGATAGTTGCCCAGTGGAAACTTGATGTTCTTAAAACAAGTATTTGCCCCAGAGGGGAGCTTCGAGGGCAAATTTGCAAGTTTCAAGAACATCACATTTCCAACTATTGGACACTGTTAGGCAACTATTGGACCATCAGACCGTAGACATTAGTCACACAGAAGCTTTACACTGGAATTGATGAACTATTTGTACGGATCTCTCACTCCATTAGTTAGTTCTCCGGGACATTCTCTCTCGTTCCCAAGCAGTAATGCAAGCTTGCCCTCTCCCCCAAATAAACAAACAAATATACACTGATGCCTTTTATTCCCACATTTTTATTAATTACACCACAGGAAGAGGCTAGTATTACAGGAGCAATTTAAATTTCTACCCAAACTGAAGGACTGTATACAACTTGTATCCGGCACCCTTAGCTTAACAGAGCTACGTCACGGTTTGCACATCTCGAAAAGTTTAGGCTAGATTTCTCAAGTTCGTCGTTTGTAATCCGTGTTAATCTTCACCATCCTAAACCATCCTTGTTACTTTATGGTTAACAAGTATCTCTTTGATGCTTTTCTATCTTAACTTGGTAAACTATTATTTTCAGGTTTCCTTTAATTTAAAGGTAATTTTGTACGCGGCCAAAATAACTCAAAACACCGTGACCAAGCTCCTTTAACACCTTATGCATGTTTGTCCCTTGCTCTATGTTTGCACGGCTCCAAACCCATTACGTTTACTGCAGGAGCATCAACCTATCAGATTAGGAAAAAACTGAATGATTAACACTGGCAAGAAATCCTTAGGCCATGAAAGCAGTTAGGAGAGCTCAGCTCCAGTAAAATTTTGTAATAAATTTGAATGGATGCTCCTCTAGTATTTTACTCTAACTTTTACCAATATTAATGAAATGATCGAGTTTCCATCGGTTGCACCTGAAGAGTGAGTTGGGATTATATCATGTAAAAAAACTAGTGCGTCAGGACCTGATTTAGACGGGAAGGGGGTGGGGATGGGGGAGAATTGGGTGGCTAGCCACCCCCGTTTTGGAGAAGCAAAACATAAAAAAATTAGAAAAATGTTGTAAATATTATGGCAGAAATAAATACAAACTCTCTGGACAGGTATCCCGTTGCAATTTCTACTTTGTGGCTTTGTGAAACGGTTTTCAAATTAGGTTCCAATTCTCAAATTGCGACATTTTGGGAGCATGCCTCCATTGATTTTGCAGCCCCAAGGTACCAGCCACTCCTCCCCCACTTTTGAAAAATCCTAGATCCTGGGTACGACGTACCAAAACATAACCTGAGCGCTTGTTTGCACGGGGTTTAATACAATCACGTTGTTATTATACTTCTAGTTACTTACTCGTAAGGAGTGGCACATAGTATCTCTATTTGTTTCCTTTCGCTACGTTTCTCCCCAGATAACTGTGCTTGAAAGTCCAACCCTCGTCATCTAAAAATGTTTTAGTGACAATAGATAAAATGCAATAATTACGCAGAGTAAACCGAAGAAAATGTGCCCGTTACAACTAGGCTTGATGTAACCCAAGGCTTGCTTCATTTAATTCTAGCACTGTTAAAAACGATCACTTTTTACTTTATTGTGAAATAACTGAATGGGTGTAAAGTGCATTACAAAGAGAAATAAATATTCTCTTTCACTAATTTAAAAACTGGGCCAAATTCAATTAGTTTCTTTAGGATCGGTATTTTTTGATGGAAACAATACTTTTATCAGTAGTAGTTAATGACGCTTTTCAAGTTGGTGGTAACGTTATCTAGGCAAGCCTTGTCAGTCTATCTAAGTTTGAGGACCGTAGGTTTCACTACTCGCTATTGAAAGACCAAGGCTCCGAACAATACATAACTAAGTCGAATTCTTACTTCCTGGACAGGGCTTGTCATTACAAGCCCTGGTCTCCTGCAGGGGGCCATCACAGTCTTCTCCGTACCCCTGGGGAGGAGGGTTAGTACAGGTTCTGGTTCTTGTTTGGACTCCGCCACCACAAGTCAGGCTGCAGTCGGACCAGAAACCCCAGCGAGAGAATTCACCATCCACACCTGTAAACACGGTGAACAATATATTTTGGGTTTAACGGGGCCGGATAAAACTTTATGGTAGATAATCACCCTATAATATTATAAGAGGTCGACCTTCCGTTTATTCGATTATCTCGAGGCAAAACCGATTCTGGTGAACATTTGCACTAAAATTTCTTGTTCACACATTGGCAAATTCATATCGATAAGAAGAGTACATAAACATAGTTCATGCCATCACGTGCGGATCTAGATGTCGTTGTCAGTTCCCGATATAAATATATCAAGATAAACTGCATCTTAACGGGCGTTCTTTAGGGACAAAAATCCCCAGAATCGTTTAACATGACTCTTAATTCAGTTTGGAAAGCCAGGGGGTAGAAGAGGTGTTATTAAAAACTGAATCATTGGATATATTGCAATTCGAGATTTTTCATTGGCTTAGCCATCATAGTTATAAGCCATTATACTATACTCTAAAAATATAGTAAGCGTATGCGTGATTTCTTGGGGCGTTTTTAATTTTATTTTAGTCAAGCTTTCTATATTTTGGGAGGCGTTTTTTAACAAAACAATTATTCCACTCGCGCTTGACATGTTGGATATGAGATAATTATAGCGAACTCGGCTCTACGCGCCTCGCTGGCTATCCACCATCTCATATCCAACGCGCGCTCGTGGAATAATTGTTAATTTGTCACAGTTTGACTATGTTCAAAGTTACTGTTTTGATGCTGGTGGACTGAGATGGTTCATGATCCACCGAGTTTTCAAACATTTTCTCAAGTTATAAAGTCCAGTTGCAGAATTTCCGTTTCTGCATTGTAGTTTAGGGCTATTGCGCAAAGCTTCGTGAGTTTTGGAATTATTTCAGCTTATTTTGGCTAGAAGAAATTCAGGTCCTCTCGCACTTATACCTTTGCGTCAGTCGATTCTTAGTAAATGGTTTAAACCCAAGAGGATCAGTTGTTCGTCTCTTGAGTTTTCTTCGTCTCGTCAATTGTCTCGTCTCGTGAGCAATCTTGTACGTGAAGTTAGTTCTGTTAAGAGCTGTTGTTGGTGACTGATGTTTAGAAAATTTCTCAGGATATGTGTCATATTCAGAGTCAAGCCTGAAAAGCGTCACTCGATGGTGTTGTGTTAGTCTGGCCCCTTGAAACTTATTGGTTAGTTACGCCGTGATGGCATTGGCGGTAAGACTCGTGTATAGAAAGCCACCGTCAACAATTATTGGCCAGTTCTAGTAAGCTTCGTTCCTTCTATTGCTTTTCAAATTATGTCTATCTGTTTGAGTTTCGTCCGTCGATTTTGTTAAGTGCTGAATAAGTCGCTTGCACTAAGGTTCCGTAGTTGTCAGCAGCTGTTGAGAAGCGTTCGCGCTAAGTTGATGTACCAGCCCCCCCTGCCCCGAGGGGGACGAGATTTCCATATGAAAAGGTCGGTGATGCTCGTCGGAAAATTTGAGCAATATTTGGACTCGAGAGACCGGCGGAAATCAAGCCTAAAAACGGAAATGAAAGCATCTATCTTATGTTTATTATTACACTTTCTTCGAGTGCACCCTAAAAAAACACTTCGACAGCTAAAACTAGTGGCGTTTCATCAGCAACACCCTAAGTGAGACCAGAATCTTTGATTTGTGCCACTACGCGAGAGTCCCCCCCGGGTACCAGCCTTGCTGGGTCAATTGTTAAAAAAATTGTTGTTGCAGGTTAAGCACTGACCAGAGTCCCAAACAATTCTGTGGTTTGTAAGTTGATTACTGTTCAGTAATGCGAACTACTGTTGTACCCAATTACACTGAACGTGTTCTATTCTCTAGTCGGGAGTCAACTACCCTCAATCGTTTTGGCTTTTGTTATTGTAAAAACAAATACATGCCAACTTTGTATGCGGTCATCCTCTTATCGATGGTAAATTCCGAGGGGGGGAAGACTCCTACACATCCTCAAAAGGGTGCGAGCGGGAGCTTTCGCGATACCTTTTAGGGTAGCGAGCAGAAGGAAATATGACAGGTGATAATGTGTTGTTTAGAATTGGTACTTCTTCATAGGGGTGAAAAAAAAAAAAAAAAAAAAAAA